AATTACTTCTGCAAAAGTTAATGTTATAATACACAGTGCATAATATTTTGCAAAAACCTAAACTATAATATATATTTATCACGCTAAGATATACAATCCACACAGGGATTAGAGTATTAACTATAAAAAGCTGACAAATTATACTATATCAAAAGCAGTTAAAAAGAGATTATCAACTGTACTATATCAGAGTAATTTACAAAAGCCAATAATAGCAAAATACAATAATGACATACTTATTTATAACACACCTCCAGGATAAAATAGTCTGGGAAAAATCCAACCCACAACCACTGAAATTATTCTTATTTTCTTCTTAACTTTAATAAACATCACCCTTTTTCATGCTGCTTTATCATCAGTGCAATCAGTGTTATCTCCTGTAAATTATCCTACAACTGCCAGAACACAGAATTACATCCTCAGGATTATTATATTTCCTAGCCTGGCAAAGGTTTTATAATTCATGGGAAGAAATTTTAAGGTCCTGACAAAAGTTAAAAGAGCATAAAACCAGCAGAACTCCACTAATTATAACATGAGCCAGGAATGGAAATTAAGGGAAAACAAAAACACAGAGGTGAAAAGTGGAGCTCAGCAATAATCAGGCTTTCAGCAGCTCTTTTTAAATCAACACACATCCACACCTCAGTAAAGGAAGAGATTTATAGAGACATTTAAAATGTCCTGGTCAAAAAAAGGAGGCACAGACCTAAAGCAGCAATTGTTTACCCTCAATTCCTACCTTGTCTTTCAGACCAGTCTGACATTTTAAGAAATAAATCTATTTTCAAAGCAGCTGTTCTTATCTATGTATTGGAAAATAGGAACTGGGTTTTTTAAAATCCCAATCCCAGAGTGGTTTGGGTTGGGAGACACCTTAAAGCCCATCCTGTTCCACCCCTGCCACAAACAGGAAACCTTTCACAATCCCAGGTTGCTCAGAATTTCAGTAATTTTGTCTCAGCAATGTTTTTCAATATTTACTTGTCAGGAAAAGTGCCACAGAATGTCTGTGCTAATGTGTGCAAAAGAATGGGGGTATGGAAAAACTGAAGGAAACCAAGGAAATCTTTAAGAATAAACCTTAAATTGTTTCATCTGGGCATTAAACTTGCAGCTGAGAAAGGTGAGTTAATGAACACTGAGAAATTACTTGAAAATTACACTGAAAATTCCCTCAAATCCCCTGTGTGTGGCCACAGCTAGAGAAACCAAACAAAGCAGAGACAAAATAAACATAAATTCCACTTCTGAGTGTTCCAAGAAATCTTCTGCCAGAGCCCTGCTGGTGGTTCAGTGTCTTTATTTCTCTCAGGGTTCCTAAGGGTCAGGGTGACCCCGAGATCGTACAGAATCTTTGCTCCCTAAGCCCACTCAGCCAAAGGAGGAGCCTGGAATGGTTCTGATTGTGTTTTCAAGGCTTTTTATTTCTTCTTATCTAAACATTCTTTCTCTGACCTGCCCAGCTCTGCCTAGCAAGGAGCCCGTGGCCATCTGCCCTCGAGCCTTGGGTGGCTCCCACCTTATATACTCAAAACTACATGTGTGTGTGTGTGTGTGTGCGTGTGTGTGTGTTTACCATTTATTACAAATTCCCATCATCTACGTTGGACAGTGTGTCCCCATCCTAAAGCAATAGGAGAGTGTCACCATCACGCCAAGGACAAGATGAAGGAGAAGAAGGTCACACATGCCCAAATCCCTTGTCAGACACACCCAAATCCCTGGTCACACACGCCCAAATCCCTGGTCACACACGCCCAAATCCCTGGTCAGACACGCCCAAATCCCTGGTCACACACGCCCAAATCCCTCCATCTTGACCCCCTGAACTACATTCTAAACACCCCAAAATTCTAGTTTGTTAGCTGAAATATCCCATTACTGAAACCCTTGTGGCTGCTGATACAGCTTGTCAGAGGCCAGAGTGGGAGGCAGGGGTGCTGTGAGCCCATGGCAGGTCTGGAGGCAGCCGGAGGGGTCCCGGTGTGCCCGGGGCGGTGGCCAGGGACACTCAGGGACACTCACCACTGGAGCTGGGCCGAGAAGGTGACGCCGCGGGCGCTGCCCCCGCGGTGCTCCCAGCTCAGGGAGAAGTTGGTGTTGACGGCGTGCACGCGCAGCCGCGCCGGGCTGGGCAGGCGGCTCTGGCCTGCGGAGACAGAACGGGAAAGGGGAGAGAACTTACGGTGAACGGCCACTCGTACCGT